ACTTGTGCTCCAGTCCCTTCACCAGCCTTGTTGCTCTTGATGAATGGTTCCACCTGGGTGTTTCTCCTACAGATCATCTGGCAGCTCTCACCCCTCACAAGCTGCTGGAAGGATCCATCGAGTCCCACCTGCTCCATGGATTGGTGACAGCAGGGGTGAAAACCTCCAGAATGTTCTCCAACAGCTGATGCTTTCTGCAGCCCTGGGAAGGATTCCCTCACTCCGCTGCATCTGTGAGTGAGTCCCACCAGACCTGGGCAATACCCCGAGGCACCAAAGCAGAGCAGGCAGTGGGGACAGCCATGGAGATGGAAAGTGCACCAGAATGTGGATAATCATCACAGCCCAACCTGGCAACCAGCACAGCCCCAGGCCAGACCCCAAACATGCCCCACAGGGCTGAGACACCTCTCCCAGCTCAGGGATCTCCATCCCTTTGCAGGAGCCCCAGGACACCCCCATCTCCTGCTGCCCAGCAGGGCAGATGCTTCTCATCCCTTTGGGATCTGCTGCTCCTTGTCCTGGTCTCCCAGGGCGAACACAGCTGATCCTGCAGCTGGAGAGCCCCATCTTCTCCAGCCACAGCCCCTGTTGTCAGAACCCCAACCTGACTGGATATCCTCTTGTACGTGGTGCAGCTGGGGATGGTGCCTGTGACAGCCCCTTCATCCATGGGCATGAGACTGATTCTTCCCGCTTGGCTGCAGGCAGCAAATCCATGTGGGAGGACCAAAAGCAGGACAATTTCCCTAAAATGTGAGAAACACCTTCCACTCCTAGAAATGTTGTGGGAAAATTTGTTTTTCTTATCTTGGGTACTCTGGGGAGATGTGAAATGTTTGCAGAAGGTGTCAAAGCTGAGGAGGGTTCTCAGAAAGCCAGCAGGCCCTTTATGAACAGCACATGCTCCTGCCTCGTGCCACTGGCACATAGAAACATCTTTACTAAATAAGGAGGAATTATCTGCTTTGGGATAGTGGGAAGACATTATTGAAATGGAGCTGAGCCTCCCACTGAAGACTTTAAGCTTTCCATGGTTTTGCCAAGTGACACATGAAACCTTCCTAATGTTGATCTTGTCAGCTCCTATAACCAGGAGGAAGATATTGGCTGTTCTGTGTCAGTGGGTGGCCACGGTTCAGCAGCGATGTCAGTTTGCATATCCCAAAATCCAGGCTGCTTTTCAGCCTGAGGCAAACTATTCCACAGGAAAAATAAAAGACTATTCCAAATAATTTCTGGCCCAGGCAGGGACCCTGATACACTTTTTGGACATTTTCAGGGTATTTCCAGGCCCTCCCACCTGCCTCTGAGACACTTGATGCATCTCAGCATCCCCTTTTGGCTGGAACGGGCCACCCCCACTCCCAGAGCAGCCCAGTGACTCCTGCTCAGGGGTGGTGGGTGACAGATGGAGGCTGGGATGTGCTGGTTGGTTCATCTGCAGTTCCAGCAATGTGTGGTCCCTATTTTTGTTTCTTTCTGATGAGCTCCAACCCTCCCACTGGCTCCCATAGCCCCAGTCCACTGGTGGGTGGTGGTCACAGCCACAGTCCTCAGCCTCCCTGGGACACCCTCTCCAAGACACTCCACCAGGACACTGTGGAACCCCCACTGCAACACCTGCAATCCCTGCCTGGGCCCCCTCAGCATCCCAAGCTCCATGTTTTGACGACAGCATTTCTTCCTACACCCAAATCCAAGAGGACTTCAGTGGAGGTGGCCAAGCCCCCCCAGCAGTGGTGTGGACATCCTGGCCCTCTGCTCCCCTGGAGTGTGGGCACACAGACATCACAGGGCTCTGGGAAGTTTCCCAGCCAGGCAGTGTGCAGGTGGTGGCTTCCAAACCAAAATCCAGTGATTTAGGAACTGTAGTTGAGGATGGTCAACAATGAAATAACTTTAGGAGCATCTGAAGGAAGTCAGACCCAAAGACATGACCCAAAGCTAAAAAAACAGAACACTGCTTGCTACGGCTGTGATTTCCTTTTCTTTTCACTTTTGCTTGAGGAAAGACCACCCACAAAGTCAGGGATGGTCACAGAGAAGTGAGGCAGTGCCAGCCTCTCCACTGGGCACACGGTGGTGGAGGAGGTACACATGGTCTCACCTGCCAAAAGCATTGGCACCATCACCCCCACTGCCCTCCCTGGCATTTGGGGGGGGGGGGCCCAGCCAGCCCCAAACTGACCCCAAGCCCAGAGCTTGGAGTTCATCAGGTGGAAAAAAAAGGGCCCTGAACCTCCTCCTTCCCCCAGGGTGCTGCAGGAAGGGTGCCAGTCCCTGCCCCCTGGGTGCTGGCAGAGCCCCTGCCCCAGGCAGAGGCACAGGGCAGCCCCCAGCCCGGGCAGAGCAGCCCCAGCACCGGGGCATCTTTGGAGAAGTGCAGGGAGGGCTGATGGAGCGGGGGCACTGCGGGGCTGGGCGCAGAAAAGCCAGATTTTCAGGCTCCTGCCTTTGAAGTCCCGCAGCTCCAGGGCACCTCGCTGCATTTTGGGGCTCTGCACTGAGCCCCAGCTCTACTTGGGGGCCCTGGCACTGGGGTCCCCTGGCCTCATTGAAGCAGGAGCCCGTGTGCTGGAGGGGCTGCGAGGCCACATACCTACCAACCCCGTGTTTTGCCTCAGTGTCCCCACCTCTGGAGGCATTAGAAACACTTCCCGTGGTCCTCTCCCTGCTGTTCAGGCTGGCTGGGAGTGTGCTGGCACCACATCCCTGGTGCTGGGGGACACACCAGCCGCCGGCCCTGTCCCTGCTCTGCTCCCTCCCCGGCCGAGTCGCTTGGCTATTTGTTTGTTTTTCAGCCTCTGGGTGACCTGAGTAATTCAGCCCTCACAGGCAGCAGGTGAAGCTGTCCCACCTCCCACCTGCATGGCACCCCCTCTGCTCTCACCCCTGGCCTCAGCTCCCAGGGTCAGGAATCTGCCCAGAGAGGATGGGTTGGGCAGATGTGTGTGTCTGCACACAAGGAACTCCCAAACCTGGGGGGTTTGGGGAGCAGTGCAGGCCCTGGAGGATACGTGGTCCAGGGGCTCTGGCTTTGGGTCGGTCAGCAGAGCGAGGGGGGGTTCAGGGTGGGGATGGAAAAACTTGGCTTTCCTCATGCCTGGGCCCAAAATGCTGACATAGCAATTTGGCTTCTCTTTCTCTTCCTCTCCCTCTATTAACTGCCCACGTTTCTCCCCAGCTCATGGGTACTGTGGTCTCTCTGCTGCCTCACCCATCCATACACAGCAGATGTGCCACAGCCAGGGCTGGCACTTACAGCCACACACATCTTGACCATTTTCTCCCTCAGTTTGTTGCTGGCAGTTGGAAAACAGAAAATAGCTATTTATGGTGAGCAAGAGAGCAGAAAAGCCAAAAATGGGGAGTCACAGTGCCCAAAACTGGCAATTTTGGAAACCCCCCTTGCACTGGGTTCTCCCCACCCCTGGTACCCTCCACAGCACAGGCTCAGGATGAATGCCCTGACTCAGGGAGCTGGAGATTTAAGAAAAACCTCAGGAGAGAGATCCTTGCCATGGAAATGCTGTGCGAGCACCAGCACCTTCCTGACAGCCCCATTTTCTTCCAAAATGTGTGTGGGGATCTGTTTTGGGGGCTGGTCCACACAAGGCTCCACACCTAGAACATCTCCTGTGGATGGGGGACCAGGTCCCACCATCCCTGGAGCCCACCATGTTCCTGCCATAGCAATGGGATGGTGCAAAGCTCCATCTGCACTGTGTTTGGGTCCAGCTTCATCTATGTGCCCCCCCAACTTGCCCCCCCAGGCTTCTCTCCACTCACAAGCCAGCAGGCTCTCAGCAAACACAGCTCTGAGAACCAGGTGGCCAAGGAGGCTTCCTTGGGTGGAAAAACACCTAAATGCCTGTTCCAGCACTGAGCCAGCACAAGCCTGACCCTGCACGGTGAGCAGGCTCCAGCCACGCCACCATCCCTCCCCGGAGCCACCTTGGCTCTGCCCTGGCACGGGGACAGGACCCGTGGGCCCCATGGGGTCTGGCAGAGGTGGCTGGTGTGCAGGCTGGGGCCAGCAGCCACAGCCCGAGGGGACAGGACACTGCTCTCCCCGGTTCCCACGCGGCCGGGCAATCTCCGGCAGGATCTGCGGCGCCCGCAGCCGCGGGGCTGGGGCTCAGGCTCCGGCTTGCGGAGCTCGGTGGCTCCAGGCGCTGCTGTCTGCGCTGCCTGTCGGGGCAGGGCCGTCCCTTCCCCTGCCTGCAGAGCCGGAGCGCTGCTCCCGCGTCGCCTGCCCACAAACCACCGTGGGAATCCCTGGGGACACGGGAGCAGTGGGATGGGTGACCAGAGAGGCTCGGGGCGGCAGTGGGGGGGCTTTGGAGCCCGGCTGTGGGATGCTGGTTTAGGGGGATGCCAACAATGGGCAAAGCTCTGTACGGGATTTGTGCTCTCCTCTACACTGCAGGGTCCCACAAATCAAAGCAACACCAGGGTAAGAAGCAGAAGGTCCTGTTTGGGGACACTTTTGGTACAAGGAGTGGGGGTCCCCAGTGCCCTCCCAGCATTCCCCATCATCTCAAGGACATCCCAGGGTAGGACAAAGTCCAGCCCCTTCTCAACATGGGGGCTCAGGGGGAGCCGTGTCCCCAGCCACATCCATCTGTCCCAGTGTCACTGTCACACAGGCAGAGCTCCCTATTCCACTGCTTCCTTCGGGCACAGCCTCATCCATCCCCTGTCCCGCAGGAGAGGCCCAGGTGTCCCCACCAGTGCACCAAGGTCCTGCACATGTCAGCTGAAGGGTGGTGGGCCCCTGGACAAGGATGTCACCTCCTGCCACGTCCAGAGCCCCAGATGGTAGCCGTGGCTGTGTCCTTTGCCCCTTCGTGCCAAGGGGATGTGGCTTGGCCCCTGCTGCCGTGCCAGGCCAGCCCCTGCAGTGCCTCTGTCCTGCCCCAGGGCAGGGGGAGCCAGTGCCCGCACTGGCCTCTCTGGGGCCACCGTCCTTGTCCTTGGGCTGCACAGTGGTGGCCTCACTTGCCCGCTGGGATCCCATTCTCCCCACCTCCTGCCGAGCCGAGAGCCATCTCCATCCGACTCCTTGGATGCTGCATGTCCATGGGCTGTCCCACTGGGGCTGTGTCGAACTGCACCACTGCAGAGAGAAGGCGCCTGTCACCCACCTGGCCAGTGCTGGGACACGGGGCAGGGCCCAGCCCTGAGGGGACTGGGGTCCAGAGCCAGCCACCATCCCCCCCCCATCCCACGTGCAAGATGGCAAAGGGTCCCATGACCCTCAGGCCACCACAGACAGAGGGAGGATGATAGAAAGTCCCTCTCCAGAGATGTGGGGGGATAAAAACCTATGGGGGCGTCCTAGCCAGTGCGGGGGGACACAGGACCACCACCCTTGCAGACCACCCGAATCCATGGGACCTCTGTGATTCCCTTGGGGAAGCCAAACCCCTCAGAGATGGGACCCGGTGGCCAGGGACCTCCTCCCCCAGTGGGTCCTGCCCCCCAACCCGCGGTGCAGCGGCGGGTCTGGTACCTGCTCGGCAGCTGTGCCGGGCGCGGACGACCTGGATCGCCTGCTGGTTCTTGAAGCGGACGAGGCCCATGGTGATCTCGGCGTTCCAGCCTGGGTCCTCCTGGGCGCAGCGGAAGTCAATCTCGTGGCTGTCGTCCATCACCACCGTGAAGTAGATGTGCCGCTCCTTCCACTCCACGCACTCCACCGCCTTCATGCGGGCGAAGCTCAGCTCCTTGCGCCGCGAGCCCTTGGGCTCGAAGAGCTGCAGCCCCTTCTCTGTCAGCAGGCACCGCTTCTTCTTCCAGAGCTGTAGCAGCCCCCCGCTCCGCTTCTCCAGCACCCCCTCCCTCAGCACCTTCTCGGGGGTCATAGCGGCCCCTCGGCCCCCAGGATCCTCAGCACCTCGTGTGGGCTCAGCCAGGCATCACCCGCTGGGGGATTTCCAGCCCCTTCACGTCAGAGCTGAGCTTCCCGGGGCCGGGACCCCCACGGCGGCCGTGCTGCCCTCGGGGCTCTCCCTGCCCTGCGCTCCCACCTCTCAGAAAGGGTGAGCAATGGGGTGCCCCATGCCGACCCCAGCCCTGTTGCTGGGGCTCTGCTCCCTGCCCCGTGCAGCGTGTGGGATCCCGGCGCCGCGTGCCCCAGGAGCTGTCGCTACATGCCCGGCCGCTCTCCCACTCGCATTCCTCCCGCCTCGCCTGGCCCCTCCTGCGCTCAGGCTCCCTTCACGCCCAGGCGAAGCCCGGCCAGGCCCCACTTCACCCAGGAGGTGCTTTTGGGGTGCCCGCAGGCAGGTGCTGCCCCATGGTCCTTGTGTGAACAGGCAGGGTGTGGGATGGGTCTGCACGGCAGCAGTGCCAGGGCAGGGCTCAGGGACTTCTGCATGGCAGCCCAGGCATGGAGTGCAGGGCCAGATGTTGGGGGTGCAGTACCAGCTGTTGGGGGTACAGCACCAGCTGTTGTGGGGTGCAGCCCCACCGGCACAGGGCTATAGGGTGCAGTGCCAGTGGGCACAGTCGGCTGTGGGGTGCAGTACCAGCTGGGCAGGGGACCCTGCATAAAATGCCAGCTAGGAAGGGGTTACAGAGTGCAGTGCCATCAGGGTTGGGGGGCTGTGCAGGGCAGTGCCAGCGAAGAAGGCACAAGGGGGTGCAGTGCCAGGGCAAGGGGTTACGGGGTGCAGTGCCAGCAGGGGCAGGGGGCTATGGGGTTCAGTGCCAGCCAGAGCATGGGGTTATGAGCTGCATTGACAGCCAGGGCAGGGGGTTATGTGGTGTTGTGCCAGCTGCAACAGAGGCCTGTGGGTGCAGCACCAGCCAGGCAGGGGCTCTGGGGACCATTGGGTGCAGTCCAAGAGGGGAGTCAAAAGCAGAGAGCAGACAGTAGCAATGGGAACAACCCTTGACACCCACCCCCCACCCAGCCACGCACCCAGGGGTGCTGGGCCACCCCTCAGCACACAGAGCTCCCATGCCCCAAATCTGCTGGGACAGGGATTTGAAGTCCCCAGGCTGTCCCACAGCAAGGACCAGCATCCCCCAGCCTCGTGTGACCTGTGCAGGGGGGATGAGCTGTCAGAGCGGGGCTGGGACAGCACAGCACAGCCCAGTCCCGCCTGAGTCCTCCCTCCCCTGCAGCAAAACACCAGTCTCCTTTCCAGCCCGTCTCGTTCCCGGCCACTGCAGCTCCGTCTGTTCCCGTGCCAGCACCTGGCACCAAGGGGTTCATGGTGCCATGCTGGGCTGCCAGGGGGACATCTGGGGACTTGTGCTGGCCGTGGGCTGCCGGACAGGGTGACGGTCACAGCCTGCTGGGCTACTGGATGTGCCCCCACAGATGTTGAGGGTGTGGTTCCTTCACCCAGGTGAGGTCTGGAATGGGAAAAAGTTCCCCCGGAGATGTGCCAGGGCCATCGATTGGGGCTGGAGGCGCCGATCAGCCCATGGCTCCTTGGCACGCAGCCACCGCCCCAGCGCTCACCTCCTGGATCCCCCTGCCCGTGCCCCTGCAGATCACAACCCCGCGGAGCCCCCGGCTGGAGCCCCTCTTCCCCCAGTCCCTCCATCCTTCCTTCCCGGTCCTTCCCGGGGGCTTCGCTTGCAGCTGGCGTGGCCAGGGGGCAAGTCTGCAGCGGTGATGAGATGCACCTCATTATCCCTCATTAAGAGGGCAGGGCGGCTGTCGGAGCCAGGAACTGGTTCGTGCTCCCTGGGGCCAACCTCACCACGCTGGCAGAGATCCCGGGTGTCCCAGGAGACCCGGGTTCCTGACGTCAGGTGGCCCCGGTTCCCCTGCAGCCCTCACCACCCCCACAGTCGGGGGGCCAGTGCCTCCCCGAAGGTCACCTGAGCACCCCAGCACCTCCAGGAGGAGCAGATGTGTGGGTTCCCTTCCACAAGCTGTTTTCCCACGCACAGGTAAAGCTCAGCTCTGGGGATGCTGAGCCCTGGAAGCTTGGGGGTGAGTAGTTTTGGGACGGTTGCTCCCAGTGCTGCTCTGGTAAGCTGGGATGGCTGTGGGCAGTTTTGTCTCAGCATCCAGCTCAAGCTCCATCCTCACAGCACAAGGGAGAGCCAAGGGCTGCCAAACCCTCTGCCCAAGACGCCAGTTCTGCTGCTTACTGTGCTCTCTGCCTTTCTGGGCTCCAGCCACCAAGGGAAGGTGATGGGCCCACAGCTGTGGGTGTGAAGGAGCTTTGACAAGGTCCTTCCCGCTCCCCTCTCCCTGTCTGTCTGTTCCCAGATCCACAGGGCAGGAGGCCCATCCTGCTGGGCTGCCTGGGGGATGACCTTGCAGCTCCTGCTCTCCAGCAAAGCCAACAGGACTCGCTGTGCCAGGCTGCCCCGTGGGCCACCCACGGTCCCCACGCTCATCCCGTCCACACAGAGCCCTCAGGGCAGGTAACAGGGCTCAGTCCTGCCCTGAGGTGACATCCCCTGCCACAAGGGCCACTGGCCATGGGGCTCAGAGGCTCCAGTCTGACCCTTTAAGTGGTGTCATCACCACCAGGCTCCAGGGTCCTTGGCCATGAGCCAACCCATTGCTTGAGCATGATCCAGTCTGTGGCACATCCAGCTGACATGCTGCAGCAGCTCAACATCCTCCATATGCTCCTGGAGAAGGCAGCAGCTTCCTGACCCCCCTCATGCCTCCATGGGGAAGCAGGGCCTCTGCCAAGTGAAGGAACCAGGTTTCTGTCTCCACACTGAGCCCTCTGTGCTGCAGCTCCCGACCCCACCACATCCCTGCACCTGGGCTGCTGCTCCACATGTCAAATGCCACCATCAAACCCAACCACACACCCCAGAGCAAAGGGATATGCTAGATTCTGGGTCCCAGGCTGGCAAACCTGGAGGGGGGGGGAATCTTTGGAGGTGTTAAAGAGCTTACTCCCCATCTCAGCTTCAAAAACACCATGGGTGTTCAAAAACATGAGGGTGCAATGAACAGCAGAAAGTGCTTGAGTTGATAAAGGAGCCCAGGTCCTGCCCCACCAAAGGATTTCTACCTCTGTTGTGCTTCTCAGAACACTACCCATCTCATTTGCTCAACCACAATGTCTATAACTTTAAAAAACCCCAGAACTAAATTCCCTGTGGAGTTCCTGATTCTGAGCTGCACTGAAGCTGAGCTGTGGGTATGTCACACCGGTCCAACAAGAGAATCACAGAAAGGGAGTAAAGAGTTTAGATGAAAACTAATTAAACCTGGGCAGCTGCCAAACTGGAGGCTTAATGATCCTCAAGCTGCTAAAAATCCAGGGAGTAGGTGAAAAGCTGTTAATTATTTGGCACTGCTGGGTACGCCTGTTTGGAGAGGTGCCACCTAAAAGCACTGATAAGGGTTTTGATAGGGTGAGCACACATGTTGTGCTACTGACACACCCCAGAAGGGCTGTCCTGGGCCTCCCAGCATCAACCACTGCTTTTGGAATAGTTATCCCCATCCCTGGAAGTGTTGAAGGTCAGGCTGGACAGGGCTTGGAGAAACCTGGTCTAGTGAAAGGTGTCCCTGCCCATGGCAGGGGTTGGAACGAGATAGGCTTTAATGTCTCCTCCAGTCCAAACCATTCTATGATGATCCATAGTGGGAGCAGGGGGAGAGCCCAGCTAAGCTGACCTGCAGAACTCAGCACTGATACATTCCTGCCAAACCACAAATGCCAACACTTCTCCTCCTCCCTTCACCTCCTGACCTGCAGCTCTGGGCACCCAGTGCACCTCCTCAGCCCCAGAGAGGAAATAAACTCTCTGGCAAGGTCAGGCCTGGGTCAGCTTTGATGTTCTGGATGTTTATTGCTTGCTTGGTGACGCGGCACAGTGCAGCTGAGCACTCATCCCGGCAGGACGAGCACACGTCCCGGGATGGGACACACGGAGCAGAACGTTCCGGGCACAGGGGCCTCGCTGAGGTGGGGGTGAGCAGCCCCCGGGCCAGCCCCCGCCCCAGCAGGACCCGGTGGGGACAGCGCTGGGACTGCCCTGGCTCCAGGTGTGCTGGGTCAGGGCGGGCAGGGAGAAGCAGCGGGTGGCTCTGGATGACGGCGAGGATGCTCACGGCGGGCGTGGGAAGGGTCGGGCAGCACAGACTGGTTTGGACAAGCCCTGAGCGAGCACAGAGCCCGGCTCCTGGTGCCTCACTGCGAGTGGACGAGTGCCCCGGCGCCCTGCCCAAAGCCAAAGCCCTTGGGACCGAAGTTCTTGGCGTAACAACCTGCAGAGGACGGAAGGGAGAGACAGGTAAGGCTGGCACGTGAGCAGGTCCTCCTCCCGGAGCAGGCACTGCCTAAACAGGACAGGGTTTGCCATATTTGTTGGGCAAACAGGGAGGCCACAGGCCCAGCAGGAAATTCCCCGGCTCCGTGGCCAGTCAGCACAGCCAGTCCCCATATGCAGCTGCCAGGGCCGCAACCTCCCCAACTTCCATCCCATCCTGGGTCCCTGCACAGGGGTTTTCATCCCCTGCCACTGCCCTTCAGAGCCCAGGACAAGCCAGCGAAAAAGGTGGGACTCACCTTTACAATAGATCTCCCCATCTTTGTCTGCCAGGGTGGTGGACTCCAGGCTTTTGCCACATTTGGCACAGCGGAAGCAGGACTTGTGCCAGGACTGTGGGACAGGAGCAGAGCCTGGTCAGACAACAGCCAGGGACAGAGCAGCAGGCTTTGGCTACCAATGGGCTCACTTCTCTATTTCTGACCCAAAGATGCTGGCAAAGAGCCCTCAATGGGATAAAAGCTTTTCTCTGGAAAGCTCTGACCTCCCAGCCCCAATGGGAAGATACAGAGAGGAAACACCAGGGTCACTGCTCCCGTGTTGATCTGTTTTTGGAGACTTTTGCCCCCACTCACAGAAGTAATTTGTACAATAATTTGTACAATAATTTTTAAGGAGCAATCCCCCCCCTTTGGGGATTGTCCTCCTCAACCAGCATGATAATTCCCCCCAGTTATCCAGCTGAGACCCATGGCTGCTGGACGTTAGCCTGGGGGTGGCAGCAGGGTTGGGAAACCTGCCCCCACACAACCACAGCTCCAAGGAAGGCAGCAAAGGGACAGGAAGAATGCAAAAAACAGACAGTGTT